CTTCAGGGCCAGGGTGTGTCGCTGTGGCCAAGGTGTCGTTTGTGGGTGGCTCCCCGGCTGGGCTGCCATGTACGGTGCTAGCAGCCGCTGCCCCTGCAATAACCCCCGAGCACCCCAGCGCTCTTGTGAGCAGAAATAGATGGTGTCGTTTGCTACCCCGGAAACGCCAATCGTACTTCCACACCTGCGCCTGCCACGAAAAGTGACAATATCATGTCCCACGAAAACAGTCAAGAAAAACATAGGGAACCAACCAAAGGCCGGAACAATGTCATCACTGGCGTAAAGTCGCTATATTTTTTTGGCGACCATTGGCATTTTTGCGCCGAATGGTTCTGGAAAGGTCATCTGTTCACCACGCGTCACACGGGGGTTATTGCAGGGGCAGCGGCTGCTAGCACCGTACGTGGCGCCCAGCCGGGGAGCCACCCAAACGACACCTTGGCCACAGCGACACACCCTGGCCCTGAAGGACACAACGGCGCCAGCCATGGCCAGCCAAAATGCCTAGGCTGCGTTGCAGGTTTGCGGCCATGCCTGGGCTGCGTGGGCTCGGACAGGCTAGCTGTGGCCTGCGCTAAAGCCCACAAAGGTGGAGATGCCAATGCCAAGGTTGCACCCTGCGGTGTCTCAGGCGCCCTGGCATTGCCAGAGGCTCACTCCCAAGGCTCCGGCAATCTGTGCGCCAGCGGCTCCGTCCCAAGGCTCCCAGCTGAGATGTGCGTGTAGGCAGCATGCAGCCGCAGCGGCGTGCAAGGGGGGCGTTTCCGGGGTAGCAAACTTCTGCCCACAAGAGCAGTCGGAACGGAGGGGGGCGCAGCCAAGCAAAATGCCTGACGTGACACCTGACGTCACCTGGCACGTCGCCTTTGGGATCCCATAAAACAGTTGCCTGGCGTTGCCAGAGGCTCACTCCCAAGGCTCCGGCAATCTGTGTGCCAGCGGCTCCGTCGCAAGGCTCCCGGCTGAGGTGTGCGTGTAGGCAGCATGCAGCCGCAGCGGCAGGCGCAAGGACTCGTCCGGTTGCGAGGTGTGCTGCAGGTGACATTTCGTGGCAGGCGCAGTCCTGTGCGCGCGTTAGACGTGTGGACACGGAAAGATTCGTGGTGGGCGCACGGATGGCCTGACAGGCTTAATCGACATTTTGTGGGTAGAGGCCCTCCAGACGACTTACATTGCCTAACATATCCTCAACATAGGCCCAAGATAGCCAACATATCCCAACATATGCCCAACATAGCCTCCAAGATGGCTCAACATAGGGCCAACATAGGCCAACATGGGGCCAACATAGGCCCAACATAGGCCCAACCCAGGCCAACATAGGCCAACATGGGCCTAACATCGGCCAACATAGGCCCAACATAGGCTCAACATGGGCTCCAGATGTGCCCGACATAGACCACATGGGCCCCACTTGGCCCAACCTAGGGCCAAGATGCGCACCAGATAGCTTAACTTTGCTCCATATAGGGCCCTCGTCTCCGACGCGGACCAGTTTCCGGCATGCCCCCGATAGCATAACGTGCACCCGACCCAGCCCTACACACACCCAAGTGGGCCGGCGCCCGGCTGTTAGGCGTAAGCCTTTACATCCGGGTTTTGGTGGACCTGCGCCCGACCCCCGGTCGACCCCCGGTCCCCGCCCGAATCCGGTCGACGGATTTATATGTATCTACCAGGTTTTTTGCGCAGGATGTTCAAAAACATCGTGTTTTACAGCGTTTCGTGGCTTTCGGCGGCCACGACTTTCGCCTAACAGGGCGCCGGTGGTGTCGGTTACGCGTGCCGCGCGGACAGGCTTAATCGACATTTCGTGGGTGTTGGGCACATAAATCGCTTAACATGTCCCCAACATAGGCCCAAGATAGCCAACATATCCCCAACATATGCCCAACATAGCCTCCAAGATGGCTCAACATAGGGCCAACATAGGCCAACATGGGGCCAACATACGCCAACATAGGCCCAACATAGGCCCAACCTAGGCCAACATAGGCCAACATAGGCCTAACATAGGCCGACCTAGGCCCAACATAGGCTCAACTTGGGCCCAAGATGCGCCCAACATAGACCACATGGGCTCAACTTGGCCCAACCTAGGGCCAAGATGCGCACCACATAGCTTAACTTTGCTCAATATAGGCCCCACCAAGTCTCAAAGAGAGAGAGAGGGCCCAGCCCTGCACATACCCAAACCCAAATAGGCCGGCGCCCGGCTGTCAGGCGTAAGCCTCATAAATAATCCGAGCGCCGGCCACGGGCCCGTGTCCTTGCCGGAGGCCTTCGGTTGGTAACCGAAGGTTATATACGCTCGCCGCCCCTGCCGCCGACCCTTTTGTTGGACCGCGCGTATACCCCGCGTCGACCCCCGCCCGAATCCGGTCGACAGATTTTTATGTCATTTATATTTTATCTACCAGCATGATTGCGCACGATGTGGAAAACATCATTTTTTACCGTGTTTCGTGGCCTTCGGCGGACATGACTTGCGCCTAACAGGGCACCGGTGGTGTCGGTTACGCGCGCCGCACGGACAGGCTTAATCGACATTTCGTGGGTGTTGGGCACAGAAGTTGCCTAACGTCTCCCCAACATAGGCCCAAGATAGCCAACATATCCCAGATGGCTCAACATAGGGCCAACATAGGCCAACATGGGGCCAACATACGCCAACATAGGCCCAACATAGGCCCAACCTAGGCCAACATAGGCCAACATAGGCCTAACATAGGCCGACCTAGGCCCAACATAGGCTCAACTTGGGCCCAAGATGTGCCCAACATAGACCACATGGGCTCCAGTTGGCCCAACCTAGGGCCAAGATGCGCACCAGATAGCTTAACTTTGCTCAATATAGGCCCCACCAAGTCTCAAAGAGAGAGAGAGGACCCAGCCCTGCACATACCCAAACCCAACTAGGCCGGCGCCCGGCTGTCAGGCGTAAGCCTCATAAATATATATATATATAAATCAATAAACTCACACCGTCCTTATTTTGATGCGCTCCGCAGTTTGGTCATAAAAATGAAATCGAAGCATCAAGTCATTACCCAGACTTGTTTAGAGTCGCACACTGACTCCTTGGTTTTCCTTTCTCAGGCTCAGTAAGGGAACCCGTCCGCCCAACCGGACCGGTTCCTTACTCCTCACACCCCCTAAGACCTCTCGCCTAGCCGAGAGCCCTAGGCTGACGTTTCTTTCCTTGTTAAAACTTCCACAAAAACATTCGTCCCAACTGCCCTTTCCAAGTCCCCCCTTTTGCTTGCACTCGTACACTAAACCCAGGTGCTAACAAAGACGCTCATCAGTTGCCTGTGATACAGTTGGAGACGTCCAACTACATACCTGCAGAGTTATGACTTTCATTTCCTCCTTGGTCTCGTTCATAGCTGGAACAAGACTTTGGCCATTGTTGCGGTTCTTCATCGGCAGATGTGCACGCTGGCATTGTCTTGAGTGTGTGTAAGTAGATGCCTACGGATCTCTACCCCAGCAACTATTTTTGAAGCTTCAACTAAGCCACACAGATTGAAGCAAAGGAACATGGTAATCCCGTCATGCCTATTTAACTCCGCTGTTTTGGAGAAAAGAAAGGTGACCAATACTGTCAAAAGAAAAGGACTGAGGCCCACCCACAAAAGCAAAGAAATCAAAAGCTCGTAGCGACTTTCGGTCACAGTGACCTACAGTACAGAGTGGTTGCTCAGCACGCACGCAAGACTCATATAAACTTATACATATACATATACATATACATATATATATATGTTGAAAACGGCTCATAAACTGTTTGACAAACTGTGTGGCAATCGAGCTTCCACCTAGGCTCTTTCTGGAAAAGGATGAAGAACAAAGTACTCCACAGCTTGACAATCAGGGACGAACACAGTGCCTGGGAGGAAACAGAGGGGTCATGTTCATCAATGTCCACAAAGGCTAGAAGTTGTGTGACCTGCCAATGCAGCACTCAGAACACTCAGAACGCCACCACAAGTGCACCGTTCATGTTAGAATCATAGCACAAAACAGAATGCAACCAGTGCCCAGGGGCGTAAAGCTGACAGGTCTCATTCGATGACCAGCCTGCGCTCGGACAAACCACTGCAGTTGCAAATTCATGTTTTTGTTCACTAGTCCCGAGTCCTGCCTATTCCACAAACGTTGAACGGTCCTAGAAGATTGCGGCGATGCCCGTCAGATTTGATCCATCCATCCACCTTCAGAACAGAGGGAGAGCAGCGGAGTGGTCGCCCCAAAGGTTGAAAGCTACGACGATTGTTGCATCTAAGAGTTGGGCTGTTGTTTTTGCCATCACCTGCCACAGCCATGCAACTGTTGATGCTGCATTCAAAACTGCCAAATGCAGGATGTTGCTTGTCAATTGCCTCTCGTGCATACCCTGTGAACACTGCCAAATTCTCCGCGAAATTGTGGCAGTGTAAGCCTGACAAATTGTTGCCAAGGATATACAAGGATTGACTCTTGCCCAGCTGCAACTTTGGCCTGAGTCCTGAAAACGCTGGGATGCCCCATCATGGCTGAACGACTGGGAGCCGTCGGCCATGGCTACCTAGAAAGTGTGTGCAAAAAAGAAACTGGCACTGAAAGAAGGGGTGTGAAGTTCGCATTCCTGATCGCCATGACACTATTTAGTAGAGAAATCTTTGAGACTGAGCGAGCGCTCATTCAGCATCGTGCGTTTTGTTGAAGAATTTGATGGGGATGCAAGAGAAACACAAAAGAGCAGAGAAGCAGAGTTCGTGCTCAGTCTATTTTTGTTGAGTTAGAGCTCAGAGGATCTTTCACACTGCACTCCTAGTCTTTGCACAAGTGACCTTGGCTCTACTCTAAGAACAGCAATATTTTAACCATACGCCGGACAGCAGCCACACAGGCCAGCTCGTCAAGTCATCAAAGACGAACTTACTACACCTCCACCCGAATGGTGCACAGACTATGGGATAGAAAAGAGTATGTCTCATACATCCGACCCCGTGGTACCCGCAGAGGGTGTCAAGGGTGGAAGAGGATCGGAGAGTAAAACAAGATCCCAATCTTGAGCCAAAGTGGCATCAAGATTGATATTTACTATGTCCCTACCCAACCAATCATTCACCTTGGTAGAAAAGTATATATTACGTTTGCATAATGCTATCAAAGTAATAAAAGTGACCACGTAACAATACCATGTCACACGCATATAAAATAGCCTGAAGTGAATGCCGACTGCGCTTGCTACTCATGTTGTCGCGAAACCTTTCCCAAGTCCTTCGAATGCTGGCAACCTCCTGATGCTATTACCCACTACTGCAGAGGCAAAGGCATGAAACCAAATCTATCACGTTCACATCTCGAATCTCCGGCTCTCGATTCCGGATTGTTATGTGCTTTGAAACACATGAAACTGCTTTCGTGTACCTCTCAAGAAGTCATGCTCGCTCCGGAAAGGCTAGTCCACAAATCTACTTATCACAAATTTCAACACAGAAAGACTGACTATCCTAGAACTGTACAGCCCCATAATGCCCCATATATATATATACACACACAACTACGGTATATTGACACACCCTGCCTGCACAGGCAATACAATATTTCTTACATCATTTACTCGCACTCGTGGCACTTTCCAATTGCCACATATGCATCATCAAAAAGAGTTCTTTTTTCGACCCGATCAGCCGAGAAAAGGAAATGAAAACTCCACAAGAGCCGAAAACTGATTCATCGGCGGCCGGGAGGCGCATATGCCACACCGTGGAGGGCGAAAAAATGGAAATTCGGAGGCCAACACAACGATCCGTTACAAACCTCGAACAAGTGACAACCCTTAAAGTTCACTGTCAATCCAGAACAACAGCCCTGCTTGATCTACTTGATGCAAAGGTTGAAGGTCTTCATATTCAGATTCCCTAAACTTCCACAAATACAGCATGGTTGCACTCAGGATGATTTCAGCCTGAGCTCCCAACCGCATGTTTGCGGGCAACCAAGCTCAGTGCCTGCAAAGCATGCAAGAACAAGTCCTGGCTGATCATGGCTCTAAAGCTCGCAGAATCACTGGAAGAGGAAACAAAACGAGAGGTACTTCAGATGTGGAAGCTCTGCCTCGTTCATCTTGAGTGGGGCTTCACCCTGTTTCTCGCGGAAAGCATTGGTCAGCAAGAGTACCTCGTCCTGAGAAGCATTCCGCAGAGACACCTCTTCTCCTGTTCATGCCAAACTGTTGCTAACACATGGATTGGGCTCAGCTGCCTCCAATTTGCCCATCGCCTCCTTAGCAGTCTTCATGCAGCTCCACCGGGTGCGAGAGCTTCTTGTTACTAGTAGCTACTTGCTCCTAGTAGTACGGCCAGGATCCCCTAGTAGCGTTCTTGCTCCTAGTAGCGATGCGGAGTCCCTAGTAGCGAACAGTGTTACTAGTAGCAATACTTGGGCAAGCTCACAAAACAAAAATATTTGCGACTTGGCCAGCAGCACTGATCTCTGAGGCCTTCCCATAAAGCCGCTCTATCGCTGTACGCATGGACTTTAAATTTGCGTGTTGTCAATACGGTCGCAGAGTTGATAGCTGGAGTACCTGTGACAATCTTGTATGTGAGTGGTCACAATTAGACCTTGAGCCAAATATAGTATAATCACAGTCCTCCATGTCCGTGCCTTTGTCCCTCCCTCCCTCCCTCCCTCCCTCGCTCGCTCTCTCTCTCTCTCTCTCCCTCTCTCTCGTTCTCTCTGTATAAGCACAAACATGCCTCCTCCCTCTTCATTCCAGCACCTGAGATCTCAACTTTGCATGTTTTAACGATTGTTTTGTGCAGCTGCAGGAGTCGGGACTGTCCCGAGCTGAGAGAGATATATGCGCGTAGGGTGAAAAGAATGTGGCCGGAAGAAACTGCGATCTTCTAGCATCTTTTCAGACCGGATTGTGCCAACTTAAAGGCCGAACTTGGTCCTTTGTTCCAAAGAGTTGCTGCCACGATGCCATAGCCCTCTTTGCCCATGAGCGGCATGGCCACAGGGCCAGGAACCAATCCTGAGAGATGGAGAACTTCGTTCTTTATCATCTTTTTTTGCCCGGGGGGCAAGGCCGCTAGTAGAGGAGAAGTAAACGGTAGCTAATAGCTTACTTAAGCTACTAGTATGGACGCAGGATAGCTCACGCTTCTTGCCTGAGGGTGGGGGGAGCTTCCTTGAAGAAGCGCTCGCAACATTTGGTTCCTAGATTTTTTGGGAAACTTTAGTTTGACTCTTGGGTTTAGTGCAATCTGCTCGACCCTGACACCACACTGAGCCGTTGTCCGTGCTTTTGCACAAAAGGACGAGGGTCTGGGAATTTCATCTTGAAGTCCCTGGAAGACCGGAACGCTTGCATTGCTTAGCAGAGAATGTGCCCCACCAATGGTCCGAAAGCCGTAGCTTGAAGCAGTCTCCGTGGTTCATGGGACCAGCCTCAAACAGAATGGTCACAGAATGTGACAGAAAAAGGCCTCTGCCTCAGCTCCAGCCTGTGGCATTGACGCCAAAGCTTCGACCACCTTCATTCAGCATACCAGTTATATAAGGGAGCAAATTGTCCCAAAAGGCAAGAGAATCTTTAAGATGATGACTTTCCACAAAGACTAAAAAGTTGCGAGTTCCTTCTGTGGGTGAACTTGATGAGACAGCGAAGTAGCACCTCTTCAGTGTTCAAGATGAATGCAGATACTGGAGGTCCACAGGACCTGAAGGTGTTTCAACAGCTGCCTTCAACTCAAGAAGCACTGAACCTTCACCTGTGACTTATCCTTCCTTGTTGCATTGAGGGCATGACACAGGAAAGTCGTGCCAAGTGCCTTTTTTCAAAATCAGCCCCATACCGGCTGGAATAATGTAGGCCTGTGGGTCCGTTGGAAAGTGACAGCAAATAAGAACGAAAGAACCAGTAACAACCAAAACCAGCGCATCTCAGGAAGCCCAATATTCGCCTGGCTACCTCTGAGATGGATCCAAGTGGAAGTACTAGAATCAGCAACAAGGTGGAGAGAATCCGCATCCCAAGCATGAGTTGGAAGTAGATAGTGAAGACTCCGAGCCAAAGCGATCAAACACAGACACTCCAAACAAGCAAGAAACACAGAGCTTGAAAAGTATTCAGAAGCTTGCGAGCTCAACTTAGGAAGGACCCACAAGCATAGCAAGAGACAGCTTGGTATGTAAAATCACATCTGGAACCGCGACAATTGCAGAACGAAGGCAAAATGAGACTACCAGGAAAGGAAAACAATTAGAGCAGTTGACCATCGAGAATTTGCGCTGTAGAATCACTTCATATGCGTAGTTTCTTGTCCAGCCTTTGTGCGTTTTGGATCAGGCAATGCGCGATTCTTCTCGTCCAGGTCCTGCTTCAGACGCGCACGGACAACTTTTTCAGGCCAAAGCAGGAGCTGGCCTCGCGGTCATGTGTTGGCTCCCCAAGCACGAAGAGTCCTGGGTTCTTCCCAATGACGATGAAGCCCTTGCAAGGTTCGGTAAACCATCACCAAGCTTTGCAGCAAAACAGTGGATCCACATACCTGCGTCATCTCCATGTGTCGCTCCAGCCTGGGCGACAAAAGCTTGATCCATCGATAATACTTCCATGCTGGCGTGGCTTGTGCAAACCACATCTAAGGAGCCGTCCATGATACGCTGTGGTCATCACGCCAGTGAATTTGAGAGGTACGCACACAGGCCTGGTCCTGTACAGGCTCGAAGAGGAGGACGCAACAGTCATTTGAGCAAAAGATCAGTCCTTCCAATCTGCATGCTCGTAGTTGGCACCTTCCAGGACCTTTGCAAACCAAGAATATGTCCCCACACTGGCTATGCTTCTGAGCCAGGATGCACCTTGCAAAACAGCTCGGTTTCAAGCGGTCTTGTAGAATGGGATGCCCAAGCCAGGATTCACAACCTGATTTGTGATGAGTTTGGGAATGGTTTGGTGCTAAGGCCTGACTACAATGCCTACAAATGAGGTTTGAGAACACCACAAAAAAACTGAGGTTTTCACAGTGTCATCAACAAAGTAGCCCAGTTTTGCAGTATTGTCACGAGTGGCCACAACAATGTCCAGCTCAATGATCTGAGCAAAGTGACATGAGCCCACTGCGCAGGCTGACAACAAAATGCGTTCTGTCCAACCTCCTCATGTTTTCGCTTTTCCGGCATGGTGAAGCTCCTTGGAACATGTCTCATTATCCAGAAACAGAACCTTAGGATATCAAAAATTGAATGAAATGCTAGTTGCTCTGAAATTTGGGCATGAAGAGACAATGTCCAAGACACCATCTCAAAGTACAAGAGGGGATCATTCCCCGTTTGCGTGCAGCATGAAGCACTGGAAGCACTGGAAGCACTGCATTCCGGAACAACAGCCGCTTCAATAGCCTTGAGCTGGACAATTTTCACCAACTTATTGTATATATAGTCGGACTTTTCCCAAATCTGGCGCCGCGACATTTCTCAACCCATCCGGCTCCTTCGCAAGGCCCAAGAGAGAAGGCAGCGTCCCGAGACTTGACACTAAATCTGCGAATAAAAATGTCTTTCGGTGCTTCTCAATGCAGAAGTCAAACAGCTGTGAACCCCCAGGCTCGCTCTTTCAGAAGGTGTTTGCCACAAAAGCACTCAATACACTCAATAGAGCCAATGGGTGCAACCCTCGGAAGTGGACATGTCTGCCATGAAAAGTGGCAAAAGATGAGACAACATCACATACCAGGGAACATGGTGAAACTTTTCTGTACAACCTTTCTCTGCCTGCAAAGCAGGCAAGAGGCAGCAAACAATTCATCTACCTATCCCTATCCACTCCTACAACCAGCCGCTGAGACAGCGTTCATCTAGGCTGAGTCCCATCTTGTCGAGGTGGTGATCGTACAAAGAGAAGGGCAGAAGCCAGGCCTCTCTCTCTCTTTCGTTTGCTAGAACTCGTTTGAGCCTGCCTGGTTTCACCTAAAACGATCCCCCTTAAGATTCCACGGAGAACTTGGATTGGCAGTTCTCTAACCAGAAAAGACGGGGAGGCACTCTTGACTAGAAAATGGCCGTTGCCAACAAGAAAAGCTCTCTAGAAAATGCAAGGCATTCTTGGAAAGTCAAAATCTCATGACCTCATCTTCATGCTTTCATGCTTCCATGCATCTCTAGAATCTAAAATATGGTTTTTCACAGGTTCTATTGTGAAAAACATCAAGAGTCCTTTTCTAGAGAGCACTGAAAGAAATGATGTTTGAACAAGATTGATCATCATGAGCGAGAGCTGGCAATAATCATTTCCTTGGATTATTGACCCTGAAATGTTAAGTGAGGATAAAATGTCACCCACTTCCCAGAGAATTATGTGGATTCAATGCTTTTCAAACATGTTTGACTCCCGGTCGAATTTGAAGAAGAACTTGGCAGGCGTGCGTTTTTACAGGAAAATGGCAGTGGGTCATTGAAAGTACGTATCTAGAAAATGCAAGGTGTCTCTTGTAAAAATGTAAACATATCTAAAGACATCAAATTGATGCAGGAGTGCATCTCTATGTCGAATCTGTATGCGTTTAGCGGTTTCCATTGTGACTAAAATAGGCAAGCGGCAAATGTCTTTTTCTGGAGGGCCCTTAAACTCACAAGGATTTTCATAGTATTGATCAAAGAAGAGACATGGGAACACCCCTTCCTAGATTTTCGGCCCTAAAAATACTCAAGAAATGCCGGTGTCTGGGTTGGAAACTCCATTTTCTAGCACACAATCGGCGCGCATGGGAATTGAGCACTAGAAAATGGGTGAATATCTCACTTGAAAATGGACAGAAAGGGGCGTTCCTAGGACTGCAAATTTCCCTTTGCAATATGCATAAAACGTTGCAAATTACAGTATATGTTGCATGTCCATGTGCCAAGCCCCTGGTAGAACGCATATAGTTCATCACTTGCATCTGCCGCCCACTTCAAAAAGTGTAAAATGCCTGAAAAATTCATATGTGGCATGACCTGTATCTACCTCCCATTGGAAAACCCAAAACAATCCTGGTATGAGATTTACAGCAATAACAACATCTCCTGCAATAATGTATATACAGTATACGCGTTTTCCGCTTTTCACTGTTCATTATGTTTGAATTCCCTGTCTAAAATATGAATTATTGATGTCCCTTTAATTTCCTTCTTGATTCCTATTGACCTATTGATTCCCTCGCAAATTCCGTTTCCATTCTGATGATGTCCTTTCAGCTTCCTTTTCAACAAAATTTTTCGTTTGCGTGTTTGAAACCACTATTGCACGCAGAAAACCCTACCAACAACCGCTCTCAAAATAAAGGCCTACAGATTCAACAACAATTTATGAATCATTGGGCATCAACCATCTTCCACTGTAAAATGTCAGACATGACCCTAATGGTCAAGGAATATACCTTGAGGGTCATGTCTTTGATGTCCTCCCTTCATGGGTAGATCTAGAAGTTCTTTTTGATCTATCTTAGGTCTTTTTGTTCAAAGTTGATGAATGGTTTCTGACAAATTTTGCAAGCCTAGCTTACTTGGAAAATATATCTGGAGACTCAAAGTCATAATGCACACGGGGATATCAAGAATAACAGTTCATCCAACCTGTCTCTATAACATGGTTCCCTATATATACATATATAGTTACTTTCGTGCTTTGCCAACAGTCTAGAAAGTGACCTCCCAAGCTTAGGGCATTTAAGGCTGTCCTCTAGGAATTGCTAGGAATGGAAACCCTCTTGTCATATCATCCATTGAGAATGCTGGTTTATAGAAAATGTTACCAGGTTCTACCAAAACATTAGAGACTGTGTCATTAGAAAGTGAGACCTTCTGAGGGACTCGGGTCGAACCATTTCCTTGGGAAAATCTTAGCAAGCTGTTTGTCAGTAGCATTATATAACTCCGCACAACAAAGCTGTGCATTTATATAGTGATGCATCAACTCGCCTGACAGAAAGCCGAAGGTGTGGTGTTCAGCGGATGTGCTACGGGAGGTGCAAGCCTGACAAATGTCACGCTTTGGTCAACCAATTGCTGACCATTTCGCACACAAACTGAATCACAAACGCTGAAGAATACATCATTTATATATTGTGCAGTGCAAGTAAATCTTGCTTAAGCTGTAAATGCCTCATAGAGTGGCTCCAAAGATGCACCAGGCCGATGCCTGGGAAACTGTTTCGATGCGAAGGGTTTGTTCTGCATCACATGTAAAATCTCTTGGTACTAAGCCTTACAAAGCTAGATTTTTCTACTAGAGCTTCGCCAAAAAAATAGAGCAAAGTATGTGCCTTTCTTTCGAAACATATTTCTCTCAGGCTGAAACAACAAGAATGCGCCGCTGTAGCATGCGACCACTCCTAACACCTCAGGCCAAAGCAAAACCTCTGGCTTTCCACGGCAGCTCTGAGCTCCTTTGAGTGTCCAACCATAAGGAGAGTGCCAAGCGGCACATCTCGCCTTTGACCAGGAAACTGAAGGAAGTGAGAACTCCGATACTGTATCTGTTACCGAGAAAAGGGTCCAGTCAACACAGATCCATTGACAGCATAGACTGTTGGCAGCCGGACAAATGCAGGACACAGACTGAAACAAACAGAAAAACAGCGAAAACAACTTCGGGACCGGCCCCCAGGGTGAACTGGCACGGCCTTCTGAGTACAACAGCCATCAGCAGCCCAAGGTAGCCGCAAACGACTCCACTTGCTCCAGCATGAAGCGCCGGCCTTGCCATGCACCAAACACCTTGGCAAGTAGCGGGGAGAACCAGTTGCAAGCCACAACATCAAATGCATGTTGCAGGTTGCCTCATAACACCACCTATAACCAATCGTCCGTCACGCTGCTTTTGCCTGCTGAGGCACAAAAGCCACTAGAAAGAGCAATGAAGGCTGATGCCGCCTTGCAGTAAGACATCCAACAACAGTCCTTTACTTGCGGTAGAATCAGAATCAAAACAAACGTTTTTGGACTGTGCCTCACGCCTTCATGGCCAACACCAACCAAACAAAGCTTCAAACTCTTGCTAGGCTAACAAAGATTCTGACTCAAAAAAGGGCTTCTCATTGTCTAACATGTCCAGTGCCACCAAAGCACCAGCAAGTTTGCTCCTGCACCCAGAACGAAGGGTGCTAAAAGGGCTAGCCCCTCAGAAGCGTTCCAATGCCAATTTGGATAGGAACGAAGGCAAGGTTGAGCAGGGATAGAGGGGCACAAGGCAAGTGTGGAACAAACCACGAAACCAGTACGAAACCATCTTGTTGGGGGAGAAAAGTCGCCATTCTTGAGCATTGCCCGTGTCGGTAGGAAGCAGAATCCTCATTGAATTGAGTGAGGTACAGCAGCATTCCAAAGGAAATGAGGCCAAGAGGAATGCCTCGGAGTTATGGCAAATACTGTAGATGTTCAAGAATGGAACATCAACTGCTGATAAAGTAACAAGGCATGGAAATCATCACCAGCCTTTGACTCCTGGTTTTACGAATCAACCCTCTTCGTGAGGCCATCTCTTTCATGCATTGGTCTAGATCCCTCCTGCTTGTGAATTCTGAGATTGGGACACAAAGCAGGCAAAAACAACTCCTGGCAGCCCCTCCAGTGTGCGAGGCACAATGCCCAAATGTCGAACAGCCCCTGCACAGGACTACATGGGATGACCCTAGGGTCCTAGGGCATGCAAGTATCTAAGCAACTCTTGATTCATGTTGTTGGATCATTTCCATCTCACCCCAAGTCTAGAAGAATGCTGGCTGCTAGCCGTGTTTCCGTTCTGCAATGCTAAACCAACCGGCTGGCCTGCGCCCCAAGCAGTGAAAATGGTCATTGAGAGGAACGCCGGCCCAAAGACCCGAAGCGTAGACAAAAGTAATGGATCCTGACATCCGCTTCGTCCAGGAATCTCTTGATAAGAGGGCAGGTGAATGCACGCCTTGTACCGCTCAAGAACTGAATGTTGCGGTTTCGTACCTGGCAACTGCAGTTGTCATGAGCATCCACACAGCTTTTGCCGCTGAAACCAGAAGACAAAAGGGCCTTGCACATGGCTGTGGCGCCTGCGCCAAATGCTTTTGTGTTCGAGCTTGAAAGAAAACAGCATGGTTCATTCTTTCGCGACCGATGGCAGAATTCTCAAACCACTGAAGAATCAAATACATTGTGCATGCCAAGAGGCCGTCGTAAAGCCAGAACCTGAATGATGGCGACACGGAAGTCCCACGGACTTCACTCTGTTCCAAACATGTTCGAACATGGCAAGCGAAGGCCTCGAGGCCCAAGGACATCACGATGAGAATCACAGCGGCCAGTTCAGTCTGAGTAGGCAAAGCGACAAAGCCCTTTGCAAACCAGTCGTGATCAAAAGTTATGCTATGTGCAAAGCACTGCGAAGAGTTGTTTGTACAGTTGTCGCACATGCTGTTTCAACGTCAATTTGCTCAGCATTCTTGTCCATTGTTGCTAGGTCCTCGCCTGTTCGCCACTCCTTCTCATGGCACCCACAATCGCCAGCGCACTGCCGGCAACAGCGCATCGCCTC